TACCAAATTGAGTAAACTGTGCGGTCGGTCGTGACACGCTCAGAATTGGTTATAAGCTATTAGTTTTTGTGCATGCCTTGTTGTAATGATCAACACATTTTTGTGTTCTACCATAAGTATTAGCATTTTGCAAGTTTCTTTGCACAATAAAACTCTATATACAAACTTAGATAATATGTTTTAAAAAGCTGGAAGCATCATTATTTCTTTGTCCCCCTAAGGTATTGAATAATTTGTGCGGTCGGTCGTTACACTCTCAAGATTAGTTATAATATTTCATTGTTTGTCCATGCCTGTTTGTAATAATCAACAGATTGCTGTGTTTTATCACAAGTGTTGGCACCTTAAAGGCTTCTTTTCACGGCAAAAGTCTATTCAAAGCTAGATAAGTTCTAAAAAGCTTAAATCATCTGTATTTCTTTGTCCCCCTACTGTATTGAGTAACTTGTGTGGTCGGTCGTTACACTCACAGTAATGGTTATAATCTGGTTCCATACCTAGTTGTAATAAACAACACATAATCGTGATGCACTATATGCATTAGCATTATACAAGTTTCTTTGCATGGCAAAACTCTATCTACACTTAGATATGCTCTGAAAATCTGGAAGCATTATTATTTCTGTGTCCTCCTACTGTTTTGAGTAACTTGTGCGGTCGGTCGTTACACTCTTCGTATCGGTTATAATCTATTTGTATTTGGCCACGTCTTGCTGTAATAACCAACACACTATTGTGGTTTAGCATAGGTAGTTTCAATTTATAAGCTTCCTTTCACTGCTGAATGCTATCCAAACTTAGATACTGGTTATAAAAAATCTGGAAGTAGCTTTATTTCTTAGCGCCCCTACCAAATTGAGTAAACTGTGCGGTCGGTCGTGACACGCTCAGAATTGGTTATAAGCTATTAGTTTTTGTGCATGCCTTGTTGTAATGATCAACACATTTTTGTGTTCTACCATAAGTATTAGCATTTTGCAAGTTTCTTTGCACAATAAAACTCTATATACAAACGTAAATAATATGTTTTAAAAAGCTGGAAGCGTCATTATTTCTTTGTCCCCCCTAAGGCATTGAATAATTTGTGCGGTCGGTCGTTACACTCTCAAGATTAGTTATAATATTTCATTGTTTGTCCATGCCTGTTTGTAATAATTAACAGATTGCTGTGTTTTATCACAAGTGTTGGCACCTTAATGGCTTCTTTTCACGGCAAAAGTCTATTCAAAGCTAGATAAGTTCTAAAAAGCTTAAATCATCTGTATTTCTTTGTCCCCCTACTGTATTGAGTAACTTGTGTGGTCGGTCGTTACACTCACAGTAATGGTTATAATCTGGTTCCATACCTAGTTGTAATAAACAACACATAATCGTGATGCACTATATGTATTAGCATTATACAAGTTTCTTTGCATGGCAAAACTCTATCCAAACTTAGATTTGCTCTTAAAAGCTGGAAGCATCATTATTTTTGTGTCCTCCAAACTGTTTTGAGTAACTTGTACAGTCAGTCGTTATACTCTTGGTATCGGTTATAATGTATTAGTATTTGGCCATGCCTTGCTGTAATAACCAACACACTATTGTGCTTTAGCATAGGTAGTTTCATTTTATAAGCTTCCCTGCACTGCAGAATGCTATCCAAACTTAGGTACTGGTTATAAAAAGCTGGAAGTATCTTTAATTCTTAGTGCCCCTACCGAATTGAGTAAACTCTGCGGTCGGTCATTACACTCTCAGTAATGGTTACAATATATCTGTATTTGTTCATGCCTTGTTGTAGTAATCAACACATTGTTGTGTATTACCACAAGTGTTAGCTCTTTAAATGCTTTTTTTGCACGGCAAAAGTCTATTCAAAGTAATATAAGTTATAAAAAGCTGAAGGCATCTGCTCTTCTTTGTCCCCTTACTGTATTGAGTGATTTTGTGGTCTGTCGTTCCACTGTCGGTAATGGTTTCTATTAGTATTTGTCCATTCTCATTTGTAATAACCAACACATTACTGTGTTTTACCACAAGTGTTAGCATTTTATAGGCTTCTTTGCACGTCAAAACTCTATCTACACTTAGATATGCTCTGAAAATCTGGAAGCATTATTATATCTGTGTCCTCCTACTGTTTTGAGTAACTTGTGCGGTCGGTCGTTACACTCTTCGTATCGGTTATAATCTATTTGTATTTGGCCACGTCTTGCTGTAATAACCAACACACTATTGTGGTTTAGCATAGGTAGTTTCAATTTATAAGCTTCCTTTCACTGCTGAATGCTATCCAAACTTAGATACTGGTTATAAAAAATCTGGAAGTAGCTTTATTTCTTAGCGCCCCTACCAAATTGAGTAAACTGTGCGGTCGGTCGTGACACGCTCAGAATTGGTTATAAGCTATTAGTTTTTGTGCATGCCTTGTTGTAATGATCAACACATTTTTGTGTTCTACCATAAGTATTAGCATTTTGCAAGTTCCTTTGCATGGCAAAACTCTATCCAAATTGAGATAATATATTTTAAAAAGCTGGAAGCATCGCTATTTCTTTGTCCTCCTAAGGCATTGAGTAATTTGTGCGGTCGATCGTGACACTTTCAGTGTTAGTTATAATCTATTCGTTTTTATCAATATCTATTTGCAATAATCAACACATTGGTATGTTGTTGTTTTTACCACAAGTGTTAGCATTTAAAAGGCTTCTTTGGACAGCAAAGTCTATTCAAAGTTAGATAAGTTCTAAAAAGTTGGCTGGAAGCATCTGTGTTTCTTTGTCCCCTTACTGTATCGAATGACTTGTGTGATCGATTGTTACACTCTCAGTAATGGTTATAATCTTTATGTCTGCGTGTCGGTATGTCTTTATGTCTGTTAGTCTGTCTGTCAGTCTGTTATTCTGTCTGTCTGTTTGTATGTATGTATGTGTGTATGTCTGTCTATCTGTATTCACGAATGCATGTTTTGTACGTATGTATGTATGTATGTATGTATGTATGTATGTATGTATGTATGTATGTATGTATGTATGTATGTATGTATGTATGTATGTATGTATGTATGTATGTATGTATGTATGTATGTATGTATGTATGTATGTATGTATGTATGTGTGTGTGTGTGTGTGTGTGTATGTATGTATGTATGTATGTATGTGTG